CTCTTTCAGTCTATACTCTTCGCCTGCGTCAACACATTTGAGCAGTCCCATAACAGATCCTGGTTCTCGATCTTCTAACATTCATCATACATCCACGTTCACTTATATTCAACAACCCCCACATACACAACTAACTACTCAGTCCTTTCTTCCAGACACAGTTACCTTCGGATCGGATGAAAATTCCGACCCGACCGTTTCTTCAACTAATACGATGGTTGCGTTTAATTTAGGTCAAGGAGATAATTTATACTGGAATATGGATATGAGTGTCCCTGGATCTCAATCTAATTTTGTTGAATTCAATAATACTTATGAATTGGCAAGTTCTGGTTCATCATCTGCGAGTGTCTATTCATCACTACAGCATATATAGTAGTATCATCTTGCTTCACCTCTGTTACCAAATCCCGTCCCCTTATCTTCTTTGGCATTATCCGCTTCCTTAAACACCATCTTGATCAAGTACGATTACTTATGATTTTACATGAAACTAATTTGCATATTAAAATATAGAAATTAGTGTTTATTCTTAGAGGTGGTGGTGTTGATTGTTATCGTAGGGAAGTTAATATTGATAGGCTATAAAATACGCATTGTTATTGAACAGATTTTTGGGTGGTTTACTTTGGATCAACACATTTATATATGTATGCATAGATGTGTCAGGTGTTGGCGTGTTGCTCTATATTAAATAAAATCACCTGATTTACGTCAGGTCTTATTTAAAGTTTCTAGATAATACCGATATCGAAAACAATATCTGATATATAACACACTAATAATTTATAAACTCTTCAAAATATTAGCTGCTTTATTTTATTTCTATATTAATTAATTATCATAAGAATTTTCGCTAACATTTGGGTTTTGGGTTGAGTGCAATAGAAACGATGTAAATTGTATTATAAATTCCATTTATTAAAACCATCTCGATATTATTTTCTTTGCGCATAATTTTTAAATTCTTCAAATTTTACTATAGTACGTGCTCAAGTATTTTCCAATTTTTGGAACATACACATTTTTCATTGTTCACCTTATACAACCCCCAATCGCTAATAAATTATCGGTTTTTAACCTCCCCGCGGAGGTGGGCGTCAACCTAGAGATAGTGCAATACTAGGGACACTCATGGGACCAAGTATAGCAAGCTAGGGACTTGGACCCCCTCTGTAAAAATTAGTTAGATAACGTAGATGGACTGTGTCCATCGTTACAGTTATCAAACTGTAAAGAACAGATACTACACTTGATCTTAGCCAATAGGCTTGAGAGGATTAAAGAAACATTTTTGGTAGCAAGAAAAGGTTCGTATTTATATTAAAAATTTCGGTGAGTCAGGGGTAAAAAAAATTGTGGGATCTTGGAAATTTTATAGTGTTTGATTGGTTACAAAAAATGAGCCAGAATTAAGAAATTAAACTATAATTCGAATCAAAGCACGTGATTGTTGAAATTTGTTAAACCCGTGACTTGTTATTCATTATATATAACAAGAGTTTATCGTTCACTATATGAGAGGGTTTAATATAGGCTGTTTTGAACTCAAGTTCACTATATCAAGAGTATAATTGGTCTTCACTATATCGAGAGTTCACTACGACGAGAGTGACTTGTAATTTTCTAACGATCTTCCATCTGTGTTGAATTGAAATTTTTTCAATTTCACATGAAATATAACTATTGAAAACTTAACGTTAATCAAACGAATGGGTTAATTTAGACTTTACTGAATTCTCACCATCTCCCATATTGAAGTGCAGCATGTGGTAGTACATTTCAGTAGTAAAAATTATGTAGACTAATAGTGAACTATTGTCGTCGAATTAATTTAATTTTTCGTATATACAACGTGTTCCTTATCAAACGAGTTACGTTGCAAGCCATCAAATACTGCGCCACTGCTGAATTTTTTGAAGGATGATTATTTTCATATAACGATAAGATAAATATAGAATATGAACAAGATGCATTTTGCATGAAGAAATTTAACCAATTAATAATAATACAAGTGACATAATATGCGCTGAAAATTAAATTATTATTGAAAATGATTAAATGTTCACTAATTTTTTTTATGCTTTAATATTATATTATAAATCATTTGCATTGGCTGACTTTAGACTGTTCGCACCATATATATATATATATATATATATATATGCTTTAACAAACTAGATGTTTTACCGTTATGTCTGCCTAATGTTAATAAATCTTTGCATTGAATATGTGCAAATTTAAATTTTTAATGTTGGTACAAGAACAGACAGTATTTTCTGCCTGTTCGTGGATTTCTATGATCGCAATTATTATCGGTTAGATTTTTCACATATACAAACAGGTGGCAGATAATACAATTGCATCAGACGAAAACTCTAGCTTGGTGGATTAACGATTTAATTTTTCATAAACCATCATTATGCAATGCTGAATGGCTGCTACGTCTTTGTATATCAAATACCGGCTCAAGCAGATTTTGAGCAAGTATTCCAGCATTGCTATCGAGTAAAATTACTTCTTCCATTTGAAAGGTTGTAGTAGATTCATTGGGTAAATCTTCAACGGTATATTCATCATCTGTACTATCATGATCATATTCAGAAGGTCGCCTCGGAATGAATTGTTTCATCTCGCCACCGCATCCTTCTTCAAGCATTTCATTCGACATACTTTCCTCGACCTCTTTAATTGAGCGTCTTGCTAATATCCAAACATAAATAATTACACCAAGACCAATTGCTATGCCGATCACAACCGGTATTATTTTCACGGGGTCTAAATGTATCTCACTGCTGTCTGATTTTCCTATCAAATGTTCGGTAAAAGATGATATTTGACTTCCAATCCATACATGAATTACAAGTTTAAATAGTGAAATCGCTGTCGCGATGGCATACACTCTTAACGAAATATGAGTCGCTGATAATAATGTATTAAGAACATTGTAAGGATAAGGTGCCAATCTAATGAGCAACAACAACTATTGATAGATTGAAAAAAAGTTTATATTATTATTATTATTAAATGAATAGATTACTTATCGTAACCATTAATTGTTAAAATATACCTGAAATCCTTTCATCTCGACAGCTCTGATAACTGCTCCCATTTGCTTATTGTTATTTAAAAGTTTTCGAACTGGTTTCCGAAACCATTTTCGGCTCAACCAAAATACAGTGATTGCACCTGTCAATGCTCCGAGGTATGATATCAGAAATCCCCATTTAAAACCAAATGTGAATCCTGCCATCGTGACAAACTAAAAAATAAGCAATCAAATTAATTTATTTTATCATTTCGAATTTCTATTTTGGTTGAACATAATTACCGTACTGTATCCAATTACTAATGGAAAAGTAGTGACAAATATTAAAGAATATATTATTAAGGCACCTCTATTCATATTAAGAAAAGTTAGACTCTCACGTATTTACCCTAAATAAAGTGATGATTTCAAATATACACTCGATCACTTACCCGAATCCTTTCCCTTGTAGAAATAAGGATAATCTCTCTAGTCCGATTACAATTTCATTACGCCATATTATAAACACACATAATGTACAAAGAGAGAAAACCATCCACAGTAAAAGTAACAACCAAGCTCGATATTTCATCGAGATGAACCTCAACCATCGCCTCCGTAATGGCGCGATAAGTTTACTTATTTTTGAATTATTCGACGTGTCAAAAGACGAAATACTGGCCAAAAGACCATTAGTAGAAGCAGAGCTTAAGATTTTCCGGTGTTTTATTAGACGTGCTTTTTTGGGATTTGGAAATTTACGCGTGTTCAATTCTACTACTTTTTTTATATTAGTAGTATCAGTATTATTAGTGTTATTGTTGTTATTATTATTAATATTAATACTATTGCTATTACTATTACTACTATTATTATTTGCTTCGTTATTTAAAACGGTATTTAGTGTTGAAGGGGGCGTTGGTGCTGTGTTTTCATTAGGAAAGGTATGCGCGTGTGCTATTTTTGGAGATTGCAAACGTCCGGTAACAGAGGTTGAGATAGCTCTTGAACTAGTTAATATTTTACGAAATATTGAAGTATTGTTCGTAGTAGTATTCAAAGATTTGATTTCTTGTAACATGTGTACTATATGGAGAAAATTGAAAAGCGGAAAAATTGAATAATTAAGAAGAGAAAAAAAACGATTATTTAATCAAGGAAATCGTGGCTAAGTAAATCTCCAACAAGGTGAAAAAATGGCAAAGAAGCGCGAGGTGATGAATTCATCCATAAAAGTTATCAAAAATTGACGATGCATTTAATATGCACATAACTATGTTGTGTCTAAGAATACGCTGGGGACAACAAATCTCATCGTTTTTGGCCTAAATAGAATTTTAAATTATCATTATTGTTATCGTTATACAATTTTCACATTATGTTATTCTAGAATACATTTGGTAATCCAACTTTAAAAATATCAAATGTCAGAGCATTGCCAGTCGCATAATGACAGATCATTTTCGATTAAACGATTGGCTAATGTACAAAATTTGATATACAGTCAAACCTTTATAACGGCCGCATTGGATTAGCACTTTTGGGCCGATATATAGTGCTTATATTATAAACTTCGGTATATAGGGTATATAGGGAGTTTTTAAATAGTTTAAAATCGTAAAAATCGGGATATCGATATGCAGTATTTGCAGAATTTACAGAATAAATTGGATTTTGGCCAGCATTAATAAATTACATAATTCAGGCCAAAGAACGTGTCCATTCATTATCAAACACCTATATTCTGGTCATCTTTTATCTTATAAAATTGAAAACCAAATTTTATTATTTTCATAGGTATAGTATAATATACTAGAAGTAATAAAGATATTGTTACAGTGCAGGCAGTCTAAAGAACACCAATAAAAAATGCTACTAGTTTGTTAATAATGTTTAACAATTTTTTGTTGTGGAGAAATACTATACTTTTACTTATTTTCATCTTAATATAAACAATACTGATAAAATAAAGCAGTTTTTTATTGGTGCTTTTGTATTGTATAAATCAAATTCATATATTTTTATTGGACAATTATTTTTAAAATTAGTATTTCAAATAATATTTCAAATAGTATTTCAAATAGTATTTCAAATAGCATTTGAAATAATATTCATTTATTAATTCTATTGATAATTGAATATTCATGTGTTTTGACTAGATTTTAAATAAGAATATTTGAATTTTAATAATATATTTAATATATTTAATTTTATTAGTAAATATTAAGTTTTTATCTGATTTTGAATTTATATATATTATTAAATTTATAATCTTAATTATAAATATTTTCAATTATTATATTTGATAATTTTGATATTAATTTAATTACAGTCAAATTTCTCTATAATTATTATTTTCATAAAAGCAAAATTTGGTGATTATAGAGTTTTTTATTATATTTATATAAATGTAAAAGCAAAATAGGATAAATATAGAGGTATATGACTATAAACAGATATAAATATAAAAGATTTGACTATATTTTAATTAATATAATCATTTAATTACTAATTAAAATATAATAATATAATTATAATATAGTCAAAAAAAATAATATAAGATATTTATTTTAAATAATATCACTTAAATCATCCAGTGGACAAATTGTCTGTTAAATTTTTTTTAGCTTATTTTTGTATATTTATTTCTAATTTTTATAAGCTAAAATAAAAATATAGCATATTTTTAATTAATATAATATAAAATTTGTAAGTTTAATTTATAATTGCTCAAAATATTTAATTAATTTTTTAATTTATTCTGTAATTTTATTATAAAATATTTTTAAAATTTAAGATTAATAATAAAAATTTTTTAAAATTGATTATTTTTATCATAAACAATTATAATTTTTTATAATTATTAAAAAATGAAAATAATTATTATATAATATATAATTAAAGCTAAGATTAAACAAATTTTTTTAACATATTTTAATTTTTGGTAAAAATATATTAAATATATAAATTTATAAAATTTTAGCAAGCAGATTTGCTTATTAAACCTGATAGTTTAAAGAATAATATTAAATATTATAATTTAAAAAAGAAAATAATAAAAAAAATATAATTTGATTAAATTACTTTTTTAATTTTTTTTGAAATATAAATTATAAAATTGTAACTTTGATATTTATTAATATTATATTATAAATAAAAAGTTTTGATTAATCAAATTAATTATTATATATAAAATCTGTAATTAAAATTAATATTATAATATATTATTAAATATTTTTTATTATTTTTTATTATAGTTAAATATTTTTATAATTATATTTATTTATAATTATATTCCTTTATAATTATTATATTTTAAAATACTTAAAGTTATTTATAATATTCAAAAAAATATTCAAAAGAATTTATAATATTTTAATAATAATTCAAAATATTAATAATACTTTATAACTATTAAATTAAATATATATTAAATATTAAAAGTATTAGTAATAAAATTACTAAATATTAATAACAATTTGTATTCTTTAATATTATAATCTAAATAACTAGAAAGTATTCTCAAAATCTTAAAGTTAAAATATAAAAATTATAATATTAATATTATAACAAATATAATTAAGAATAGATTTATGAATTATAATTATTATATATTTTTTACTTATGTAATTAGTTAATAAATATAAATTGAAGTTGGAAGAGATAATTAAATAAATATAAAAATAATAAGAAAAATATGTCTAAGTTTTATATTAATTTCTACTAAAATTATTATAATTCAAAAGGAAAACAAGATTTAAAAAAGGGACAAGATAATAATATTCAGATTATAAATAGTATTTCAATTAACTATATTTACTAAACAAGATATTTTAATTAATATATTAATTAAAATATTAATCAAAGTGTTAATTCTTTGTACTAATATAAATATATTTCAAAATTAACAATAACAAAAATAACAAAAATTCTTTTATTTTGTTCTTCTCACAAGAAAAAAATTATAATAACTTTAGTTGAGGAATTTCAAATAATTTAATTATAATAAAAATATTAAAAGACTAGTCTATAACAAAATATCAATTTAATAATTTAATAATAATATTTTAATTAGCTCAATATAATTCAAAATTATTTGTTTACAAGTTTTAAAATATATATTTGAAAGAGAAAGATAAATTGTTTAAGTATTAAAAAATATTTGTTTTATTATATTATTTATTCTCAAGTTCTAATATGTTAAATTAAAATTCAACTACAATTTATATTTATATATTTTTTGCAAATATAAGTATAATATTAAAAATAAAAAAGAATATAAAAGATAAATATGCTAACTAAAAATAAAATTTCAATTTACTAAATATAAAAAGAAAAAAATAAATAAATAAATATAAGTTTCAAGATTTTTTGATTAGTTAAAATATATTTATTCAGAATAAATAAATAAAAAAGTATAAAAGTATAAAAATATAAAAATATAGTGATACAAGATAAAAGATAAAAGAATATAAATATAATAATTAATAATATATAATATAATTATAAAATATTTTAAGTTTTTTATATGATTTTTATAAATTTATAAAATATTACAAATTATAAAATTAATAATTTTTATAATATAATTATAATAATAATAATAATTCTTTTATTTAAATATAATTTTAATAGACTTTATTACAAATATATATTAAAAATCTAAAAATTAATTACTAAATAATATAATATTTATAACAAATATACTTGAATAATTAATATTTTATCCAAAAATTATATAATACTTATAACAAACATATTAAAATAATTATATAAGAAATAAAAATATATTTTGTTAAAGAAATATAAAAAAATTTATATTTAACTATCTATACTATTATCATTTTAATATAACTTTAGGTTCTGTCATGAGAGTACACATAATAGAGTACACATAATAGAGTCAGATAAAAGAGTTGACATATTAAATAACTTAAAATTAGAAGAGTTTACTAAGTTATCTAAAAATAGATAACATATATTCATTTTGTTGATCAGCTAGAATGAGATCAAAAAAATTTAAAGATAATTATATCTTTTATAATTCAATTTATAATAAGTTGAGCATTCTTTTAAATTTGGTTTATAAATAAATAAGATATAAATACAAGAATATATAACTTTATAATAGTGACAAAAGATTATAAAACAAATATAAGAATTAAGATGAGAGATTATGAAAATATTATGAAAATATTATTTAAAGAATTATTAAAAGAATAAAAACTAAAAACTTGATTAAAATTAATTAATTAATTAGAATTAATTAATTAATTAGAATTAATTTTTTTTAAGCTAAGATACAAGCTATATTTATAAGTATTTGATAATTATAAAATAATCATTTGGAATGATCATTTACAATAATTATTCAAATGATCATTTGAAGCACTTGAGATAATTAATTGGAATAATTATTTGGAATAATTATTCAAAGTGATCATATAAAGTGATCATATAAAATAATCATTTGTGATTATAAAAAATATCTAATTATAACAATACTATAATATATACAAATTAAATTTCTTTAAATGATTAAAAGTAAAAATAACTTACTATAAAGTAATAATTAGAAATTATTATTATTATTTTAATCTAATTCTAATAATTATGAAATATATTATTTTTATATATATTCAATTATAATTTAACTAATATATAAATTTATATTTATTAGCTAACTTAAATTCTATTAATTCATTATTTATTATTTGCTTATTTATTTATTTATTTGTTTATTTATTTATTTATTTACTTATTTACTTGCTCATTTTATATACTTAAATTTTTTTAATAAAATAATAAATATTTATAATTTAATATAAAGATAAGTCAATAATAATCAAACAAATTATAAAATCTTAATTTTATAATAATTAATATTTTATCTTTTACATTTTATTTAATTAATATATAAAAAACTTTAAAATATAATATTTCAAAATTTTATTATATAAATCAGAATTTATAATTAATTAAAAACTAATTAATATATTTATTTTATTGTTTTAATAAAAAATTCATTTTTAAAAAAAATAATTTGCTTAATTTCTATTAATTTATTCTTATATTTTGCAA